CAATTTGAGAGATTTCAACCTCTCCTCGTATGACAACCCCTCAATCGCAGACATCATTATAGTAATCCTTCTCTGAACTTTTTCCAACAATTCAATGTCTTTCCTAAGGCAAGGAGTCCAAGACTGAAAACAATATTCATCTGCTTTTATGTTACCAATACTCCCGCATCTTTAACTGTTGAAATAGCTTCCTTATTCTTCTGCTCAGAAGACGTTGAAACAAAATTTTTACCAGTCGTTGATTTGCTTATCAGTTATTCTGGATAATCTCTCCTGAATTACTAACATTTCTTTCACGAAGATTTATTTTAAATCTCATACTTATTAATCCAATCTTTACTTTCTTTTTTTTTTGCTCCCCAACCCTGGTGGGTCAGCGTTAAGTTTACTGACTTATAACGCTAAAATCCGGGGTTCGATTCTCCGTGGTGGACAAAGCAAATATCCCAAAGTGGCCTTGCGCTAAAACATATAAACTCTATTTTTCTGTAAAATTTTCCAAGTCATACGGTTTATTGAATCAAACATATTCTATTATCCTTCATTTTATGTTTTACTCAATCATTTTAGTGGCCGCGTTAAAAATGAAGCAGAAGTTTTATGATTTTCTGGGAGAATTCCTATCAAGTTGAATGAATAGACAAACTATAAGTATGTCTTTTATAGGATCGTTCGAAATGTTTTAAACTATGCTTTTCACATTTGTCACACTTTTTTTGAGGGACATAGCCTTAACTTTTTACATCACAGAATATATATTGAAAGTTTTTATCAAGAAGTTGAGAATCCATAAGTCTGAATTGCACATATGACTCAAACCATATATATATGTAAAGTTTTCACTAGCTATGCTGTTTCAAGAAATAGTTTGATATGTTTGTCTTGTCACTGTAAATAAAATTTCAGTTGTCCTTTTTCCGATCTCATCTGTGAAATGTTTAAAAAGTAGTTTTGTGCCTATATATATATATACACACACACACATATATATATACACACACACACACATATATATATATATACACACACACACATATATATATACACACAAACATATATATATATACACACACACACACATATATATAGATATATATATACATGAGATTTCCGAAATATCTACCTATTAGAGTTCTTATATTGATTAGATTTTGATTTTTATCTTTAGTAATTGAATTGCTAATACCGTACTGTTCAAATAAATGTTTCCGCACTATTACTGCCAGTTTTGGAAATGCAGGAGTAACACACTTTAACCGTGTATCGCCAAAATGTTATACGTATGTATACTTGAGCTTTCTTATACATAACTTTGCGGCTCACTTCTTAAATGCACAGAATGTCATTAGAAATAAGGTTTGGGCCAATCACGACTCAAGGCATATATCCTGCAACGTAACACATTAACCTGTTAAATACGGTTGAGTAAAAAGTATATACGTATAAAACTCGGAGGTAGATAAACTTATACGAGAGAGAAGGAAGATTCCACTTCTAGTTTTATAATACATCTTTGATCAGTATGCTGTTATTGTCTCCAAGGGCAAGTGGCTAGTGTTCCACTCCTACTCTCTAATTGTTCATTCATTCGTACAAGAGTACTAGTTACAATTTCATTGTTTCAGTTTATTTCCTCGACAAATTTAATTGTTATTCGGTCGTATATTCTAGTTATTCAACGAGGACGTTTCTAATGCGGTTTTGGTAAGAAATCGATGAGAGCGTTTGGAAGCTACAATAGATAAGTTGTGTATCTCGTTGACCGGAACTATCGCAGTTTTTCGTTGTTTACGCGAGAAAACATCAGTGACAAGTTGTTTGTGTCATAGAGCGGCTGCATTGTGTGATTGGCGATTTTGACGTCGACATGACGTAACTATGATGACATTTAAACCAACATTGGTACAAAAGGAATGGTTTCTCTAATATTTTAGCAGATTAAATATTTTAGTACGAGGGTAACATTAGTAGCTCAGCTAAATATTAAAGCAGTTGTAAAACCAATGCTTCCTTTGTCTGTAATCGTAGGAAGCTTGCTATTTATAAAAAAAAATTAAGTAAATTAATTATAATTATCAACCCATTGATTTGGTTACTATTAAAACTGGTTTTAGGTACAACTTGAAATTTGTGTTAGGGTTAGGTAAGAAAACACCTGAGAAATATACTGTCAACTTATAAACTACGATGAACGTACCATATTCTTTGCCTTGCTGATAACTGCAGTACTAACTTTAAACGTGTTACTTATTGATAATCTCGGTCCTTACTCGTTTGCAAGTGGTTATGCTTTTGTAGCGGACAACTGTGTTTTAAGATTACAGTATTAATACTTGGTTGAAAAAATATATATTAAACTAGCTAATAAAGTAACTGCTTATTTCTCTTGTTTTGAGCTGTGGTGTAAGCCATAATATTTTGTTTGTCCTAGAACAAGGCTTGGTGAAGACATCCCCCACACTAGTGGAATCCCTATTCGTTGGACGCTAAGAACGCTCAACTGTAAACATGGAGAGAGGATCCGAACAGGGTACCAGTGGGTTGATGTTAATGCCAGACCAGTTTGCTACTCCGTCTGCCGCATATCATCAAAGAAGGGTGGCTATTAAAGAGAGGTTGGAAAACACAAGATTGTATTTTACCGATGAAAAATAGTGATATAATGAAAATAATAAATATATGTTAAAGAGTATTTTTAAATAATTTTATCATTAGAAATACTATAAAAAGTAATACTTAAGATAATTGAAAACAAAATAAACAGTGTGTATAATAAGGTGAATATATCATATTTTTTGTAATAAGGAAAGAATTCCCGTGGCTCAGCGATAAATTTGAGGATTATAACGCTAAGGCCCGGCATGGCCAGGTGGTTAGGACACTCGACTCGCAATCTGAAGGTT